TAACTTGAGTAGGAAACATGTTTAAAAAGGCCTCGGTGTTCTGTGACACTGACCCGAGGACGTTGGACTGTTTATTGGACACATGAAGGCACAGCAGTGAGTCTGATTACAATCTGAAAAATGCAGCTTTATATGTCAGGATGGTCTGATATTTTATAGACCAACAAAAAAGCAATTAATTAATGACCAGACTGATTAATGATGTAATCCAAAATGGCAATAATCAGTAATTGTGGCTGTAACAACACGCTGCCCTGTTAGGATGGATAGCTGGACAGCACATATGTTCATTAAAAGGCTTTATTACTCAACAAGCTCTATTAAAGCACATAATCCAGATTAAACCTCACATGGTCATTTGTATTATTACGTTTATTTCATACCACATTGTTTTATAGTTTTAAAAACCATAAAACCAATCTGAAAAGAGGTGACATCACTCGTGGTCGTATAAAGCTGAGTGAATGACTGTGTCCACATGGCCAGGAGTGTCCATGTGGAGGCAGGTGATGATATCAATGACTAACACTGCATCACACACAGACAAACGTGAACCAGTCAATTATACGGACACTTAACGACATTTAATGAAGAGCACAGGTACAAGCATACCTTAAAAAAACGCACTGAATGCTAACAGAAGTGCGGTGGACTCCTCACAGAGACGATGCTGATATTTAAAGGTCCTCCTGATTAAACCACTAAAAACATCATCTCTGTTACATATCTAGATTGTTTTCTTCACTCCCATAAACTGATGTACTACCTCTACAACCTGCTCCATTCTTCACTCACTGCAGCTGGAGCACACCAGGACCTACAACCTACAGTTTCATTTAGCGTTTATCCAGAGCGACATACATTTCAGAGTAGATCACATTCACACACATTCATACACCAGTGGTGACTGAGCTGCCTGCACGGTGCTGCTGCCATCAGGAGCAACTTCAGGTTCAGTGTCTTGCCCGAGGACACCTGGACTGTGGAGGGGATGGAACCACCAACCTGGTGATCAGAGGACAACCCGCTGTACCACCTGAGCCACAGCCGCCTGCACTATGAAGCAGGTTAAACATATCCAGGATATCTTCTCGTTGTCTGGCTTCACTGATCCTAACAACCGCAGTCACACGAGGCTGGCTATCAAGTCTTGAAGTCAGCCGGGTTCCTGAATCCAGCTGTTCACACAAACGGGCCGGTGTTGTCACTACATGACCAATCAAGTCCAGAGCCGCGGATTTCACAACAGAAGAACAAACTAGAATCCTGAGCCGAAATGAGCGAGACAAAAAAGAGTAAATATACAAATGTCACGGCTTTAGTGCTTTAATCAGTCTCTGTTTTAGACCACATGGCTGTAAAACCGTCTGTAGAACAGTGACATCGCTTTGACATGTGTTGCTGTCAGCCTACATCTCTAATACCTGTTCGTCATGGAGAGACCAGGATTTAAATGATCTCTTTGGTGGCCTCAGAGACCCTTTTACTATTCATACACCAGTTCCAGCGGCTCTTCTAGAAGTGCTGATCCCGTTGTTTACATGTTCATCTGCTACCTCGGCCATGACTGGCTCTGAACCAGGCTGTGTGTTCAGCATGAGTTACCATGGTGACGTGTGAAGCACCATCGTAGCCCTGGAAACCATCTGGTAAGCCTGAAGTTAACTCACTAAACTAACTCGCAAAATAGAATAAATACCTGTTTCTACATGTACAAACATTATTTGCATTATTACTGCTGGATCGCCATCAAGACTCTGGAACACATGGAAACAGAAACGTGTTCTGTTCTGGTCCGTCATGTGCAGCGTTACTGTGAAAGTCAGTCAGGAGATCTAACAGGAGAAGCTCACGTCTACATACAGTCTCACAGCACACTGATATTTTACAGAAGCTGGAGGGTATTTCTCTGAACAGTGATGACACTACGGAACCCCGGATGGGACATATAGAAAGAAAAAAAAAACAGGGAGAGGGGGGAGAAACAGAGGTGTGTTTCTCAGGATCTCACAAAAACTGTTGCGCAATCTACCTACAGTCGTCTTCTTCTTCTTCTCCTATTAATTAGGTGGTTGGCATCCAACATTCAGGTGCATTACCACCACCTACCAGACTGGAGTTACTGATAGTTTGGCGAGTTTCCTGAGAAAGTTTGCAAGATCTCAACAAAAGATACCTCCATATCTTCTTCCTCTCCCTGTGTTTTTCTCTCTCCATGTCCCTTCCAGGGTTCCATACAACACATACTATATATTATTGTATGTAAACTGTCAGGAATGTGGCTTTGTGCTGTTTGGAGGCTGAACTACATCCAGACAGTCAGGCTGTAGAGGCGATGTGCTGCTGTGGGACATCTTGTCTAGTTTTGCCTGGTCTGCTGTTGGGGGCCTTGCCATAAGAGTGTGTGTCCTGCTGGGAGAGCTGGCTAATGTGGAAACAGGTTTATCATGTGCCTGGCAGCACTCAGACCGGACCAGGGAGGGGATCAATGCCCCCCTTGTATTTTGTCATACATTTGTCAATATGCCTCCAAATGCTACCACCCAGCTCAGTGACACTTCTGTATTTCAGTACCTCAGCAGGACCCAGGAACATGCATTTCTGTGGTTTAGCATCGATGTTTCTAATGGACGCTGCCCACCAGACGGTTTCCTTATAACAAATGATCGCACACAGCTTTTACAATCCATCATGATATTACAGAACGCTCACAACCATGTCAGACAGCATCAATCACTCCAGCAAATACCCCAAAATGAAATATGTTGACATCGAATTGACAGCAGCAGACGTCAGGAGAAATGTTATGAAGCCACATGTCTGTGTGGGGAGGAGGTCCAGATGGATCAAAGAACAGGACGTGTGTTCCTGAATATATACTTTAAACAGAAAAACGATGCTGCTAAGATAACAGCTCCGACAAAGTACTTTTTCAGAACATCCATCCATCATCTCTACACCTTAATCCTCACCAGGGTCATGGGGGGCTGGAGCCTATCCCAGCTGACTCAGGGTGAAGGCAGGTTCACCTGGACAGGTAACCAGTCTATCACAGGGCTACACTTAGAGACAGACAACCAAGCACACTCACATTCACACCTACGGACAATTTACAATCACCAATTAACCTCAGCATGTTTCTGGACTGTGGGAGGAAGCCGGAGAACCCGGAGAGAACCCACGCTGCACGGGGAGAACATGGAGACTCCACACAGGAAGATCCCGGGTGTCCTCACCGGGACGTGAACCGGCGACCTTCTAGCTGTGAGGCCACGGTGCTAACCACTGAGATACCTGCAGCCCTCTTTTTCAGAATATCTGAACCCAGATCACAGTCTGGGGACATCCTTCAGAACATTGTTACTGGTAGACCTGCTGTATAGAACACGTTCTTTCATCTTTACCAACCCGATGCTAATGTCCCTGAAGTGACCATGTTGGTTACTCACACACTAAACTATTCCTACAGTAAACCTTTTCTGATGCAGCTTACTTTTAATGTTACACTCTAGTAAACTCTTACATTCAATTCAATAAACTGCTAAAAGAAAAACTAATGTTGAACCCAAACAGAACAGTTCTGTCCAGGCTTCCTGAGCTGCCGGCTCACTACCGTCCACAGACGGAGCTCACAGACGCTGGGGATGTGTTCAGACCTTTGATTTCAGTGTAGCTCCTGTTTGTGAGCGCCGCCGAGCTCAAGGTGAGACTTTCCGCTTTCCGACTCTCCTGCTACAAAGCCCTCAGCTCATTTAATCAACCAGAGAAAACGAGTGAAAAGAAAGGACACAAAGCTAAATGTTCCAGAACGCTGTGATGCTGCTTTTGCTTTTCTGTCTGCTTCCCTTCACACCTACAGGCTCTTTATAAACGCAGGCCAGCTCGGTTATAGACAGCTCCAAGGTAGACGGCTCATTAAGATGAATGACGAGCGTCCAGGGCGGGACGTTTCCCTCAGAGATGAAACCTGCAGCTCTGACAGAGTGGGATCATTCTACCTGCTTACAGAATTAGAGATAATGAAGGAAAGCAGAGCTGCTCAGAGCTACATGTGAGGAGATGCTGTACATTGAAGCTGAGAGCCTGACAGCAGCTGGTGAAGCATCAGGCTTTGGTTTGGTAATGACGGAGGCCTCATATCGCTCCATGTGCAGCATTTTTCTTTTTGTTTGTTCGTCACACCAGAGCTTCAAAACCAGCAAATGAGGCAAAACCCTGAAATGTTTTCAAAGACTTTCCTTCAGAAGTGAAGCAAACCGCTGCAGGTCTGCTGAAGAGACACCACACCAGCTTTCTGATAAAGCATCTGTTCAATAAAATAAACTATTGATTCCTTATGATCAGCAGCTAAATGACGTCTGTTTCAGCTTCCAGCTTGTCAAACATCCACCAGTGGACCATGTAGAACATGTAGAACCCAGAGTTCACTTCAGTAACAACACCTGATGAACAAACATTTGGTCCCAACATGACAAAAACACAACTAAAGTGTAAAACTTCCAGACAGGGACGGCAGCAAATGCTTTATCCTTTCTTATTAATTAATAAAAACTCAACAATAATGTGAAAGACAAACGGACTCATGGCTGTTTTAATGCACTGAGCTGCTGAATCACATCACAGGTTCCTCTGACTCCCCACATCTCTCTAACAGCAGCTCCATCAGTGACCAGCTGGACTTCAGGATTATTAGGTATATTCAGTAACGTAATGTGTCAGACAGTCCTGTTATCTGTTTGTTCTTTAAAGAAACAGACCACTGGAATAAACTTCTCCACAGATGACAAGGAGAGGACCACTGAGACACACTGTGGACCTTCATTAAAGGCAGCTAACGCTAATCTGACCTGCTAATGGAGATGTCATGATGTGGATGTGACACTAAAGTGACTTTCTATCTGACATCATCATCTTTATGTCAACTCCAGTGACAAACACGTGACTAAAACCAGCTCATATCAAAACATAAAATCAAAAACCACAGGTACAGGTGTGCTCACCTGGAAGCATGATGAACGCTGATGTCATCTCCACTTCACCTCCCGTTCAGAGACCTGCTGCAGGTTTAAAGCTCAGTGTCTGGAGGTCTGTCCTCACCATCTGACCGGGATCATGTCCGGGCGGGTCCATCCGTCTTCAAAGTAGAACCGCAGCCTTCAAACCAAAGCCGACCGGAAGTGAACGATCACGTGTCCTGAATCTGGCGCATCTGCTGGAGCGCGTTCAGTCTGGAAAACCACCTTCATCCTCCTCAGACAGTTTTAAGACCCAGTAAGTTTCCAGCAGTCAAAACAAGCCTCCACCTGCTTTCATCATGAACCTTTGATCTGCTTCAGCGACTTCAGTTCACAACAGCTCCGCCCATCCCGTCGCTCCACCTGCTGAAGCTCCGCCCATCCCGCCGCTACACCGGCTGAAGCTCCGCCCATTCCGCTGCTCGACCCGCTCCAGCTCCTCCATCACATCGCTCCACCTGCTGCAGCTCCTCCATCCTGCTCCAGCTCCTCCATCCTGCTGCAGCTCCTCCATCCTGCTCCAGCTCCAGGAGTATCCGAGATGGAACCACCTTCACCTTCCTGGAGGTCCTCCCAGCCAGCTTCCCCTCCTCTGGTGTCCTCCACCAGGCTCTCCTCTGAACACCATGAACTCTGATTCAAACTCTGAAACGTTCCTCAGCGTCTGTCACCTGCCGCGCAGCTTCCGGGTTCATGTCCGCTGTCTCCGCCCACCAGAGTGACGTCATAGCCGATCCACCGGTGACTCCTGCAGCTCCAGCGCCTCCAGCTGGTGGCCCTTCTCCTCCAGCTTCACCTCTGGAGCGACCTGCTGGCAGGTAATGATACCAACCTGGTCCAGTTCTGCTCAGTTCATCAGAATCAGGCTGTGGAGGAAACGTCTTGATGGTTGTGTTCAAATATCTCTCAGGCTCATGATTCAAGACTAAACGATATGTCAGTGACTGTGTTTAAGTTAGCGTCTGAAGCTTTTAGATAAAATTAAAATGACCGTGGCTCAGTGAAACTGATCCTCCAGACCAGTCGGACCCCCCAGGGCTCAGACTGGGACCACGCTGTGAGAGCAAGTTAGCATCTCAAGTTTGTGTGAGTAAGTCATGAAGCTGTGTGGCTGTCGCTCTGACCGGCATGGCCAGCTGCTGTGTTGGCTATATTGTTGATCTGTTCCTGGCTGATGTATAAACCAGGCTGTTCAGCTGCCGGGTCCTCGGTCATCTGGGACAGTAATTTTGGTCACACACCTGTCTGAGCTCACCGCAGCCACCAATCAGCAGCTAGCCTTCACTGTGAGGCGTTCAGGGAACCTCTGTGAATTTATTGTGCAATAACACTTTCAGGAAGTGAACTGTTTCGGCTGTGACACGGTGGAAGTGCTGCCGGTGAGCCCTGCTCCGGCCAGCTTTCTTTAGCAGCTGCAGATCTCACCTCGTGCTAATCAGAAGAGCAGGTACAGGTGGAGCAGTGGCGCATGGCTGCTACTGTCGCCTCACAGCTCTAAGTGAGTGTCAGGAGTGCTTTGGCTTCCTCCTACAGTCCAGAAACATGTCCAGGTTAATGGGTGATTTAAATTGTCTGAGTACGCCTTGTTGCCTGTCTCTGATGGTCACCTGTGCAGGTGAACCTTGCCTTCAACCAAAGCCAGCTTAGATGGGCTCCAGCCCCCCACAGCACTACAGAGGATAAAGCATGTGTGGCCAAGGAGCTTCCATCCTTACCAGCTTCCAGCCCACCGTTCTGTTTCACTCTGTTCATCTTCCTGCAGGAGGATCAATGTGGAGGAAACATCATCGTGCTTTGCGACCGTGAAGCATCAGTCAGCTTTGTGAGGAGCTCTCCTCAGTCACGTCTGTGCTTTGTTTCTCCTGCAGTCTGCCTTGTCAACATCTGACCAAACCAGCTGAGTCCAAATATAATCTGGTTCAATACTCGTTCACCTCCTTCCCTTCTTAAGTCTGTCAACTTAAGTCTGAAGTCCAGTTTCATTTGAGACATTTGGACCCAGCTTTCTTGGAAGAACATATGACCTTCTCTTCAGTGGACCAAAGAAGTCCATCCAGAAGGCAGTGGTAAACATCTCACGATTAGTGTCTTGATGCAAAGTCAGCT